ACTCAAGGCATGGCAGGGATGGGCAGCAATCAACTTCTGCTTTACCCATGCAGTCCACGGGTGGTACGGTCCGGGACAGGTATTTTTATGAAACAAGATATCATGAGGTTATTCACTATCAAGCAATTTTGTGGAACACCCCATCTTGATGGTGAGTATGCATAACCATGGTAAGTAAAGTGAGAGTCAACATGGCTGTACAGTGCAGATTTAGCATTAAAGAATACCTGGTCAGACACCACTCGCCACAGAGAGGGATCCATGTGATAAAAAGAGATAAATGCCTTGAAAGAAAGAGAGAATGAAGAAAACTTACCAGTTAAGGTCACACCAAAGTCTGGAGAACTGCAAAGATGGTAGACGAAACCACAATGAAGAAGAAATTGTGACATGATGAAGATAGTGGGAGATGAAAATACTGGGAGTGGTCCACATGCTGGACTGTAGAATCTCCTCATCAGATGACAAAGAATAGAAGTGAGGGAAAGATGAGATGTCAGATCTGATGGGAGGAAACCTGGAACAAGGTATGTGAGGAAGAAAGTAGGGAAGAGTAGCCCAAACGAATCTATAGGTGGACCCAATTAGTAAGGGTTGAAGGTGAAAGATCATGATGGGAGAAGGTTTGGCATGGGATAAAAAGTTGGTTGTGCACACCCGGAAAGGGAGCAGTACATGTCACATAACAATGAAGGGCCCTGACCAAACACAGAAGCCTACCTGGATCTGGTCTAGGGTAAAAATGGGATATAGAAGGAAGGGAAATAGGAGAAAAGGATGACCAACCCTCCCAAGCTGCCAAGATCTTACAGAGAAAGGAACAATTGGGATAAAGGAGTTGATAGGTAGGGTGATAAATGGTAGTGAAACATCAATGGCATACAAATCTGACCTTTGACATCCACAGGCTAAGATGAGGAGGAAATATGTTTTAATGGACAGATGAAACAAGGAACACGAGAAAATGGTTCAAATGGAGGTAAATTAAGAGCATGAAGGACCACATTAATGTCCTAATCCAGAAGGGCTGGACATCTGGGAGGTTGATGTATCTGGAAGGAATGCATGAGCATGGTAAGAACAGGGGAAATAAAAACCTTATGGGATCAGGAAAAATGGAAGGTATGGGAAGGGCCACCCAATATCCAAAAACCAGGGAGAACAAAGAGCAAGGTAAGAATTTCTGCCACATGAGCCACAGAAAGTTTGTCAGCAGGAAGACCCCTGTTAGCAGACCAACGGTAGAATACTTTCCACTTACATTGGTATACTTCCATGGAAAATGGCTGTATGAAACAAGGAGGCAACTCAACATGTGCGACCAGATCATCTTGCCAAGGACGGGACAAAATTCAGGCAAGAAGATGCAGGACATGGAGATTGGGATGTAGAATGTGGGATCAAGGTTGATGAAAAAGGGAGGGAGAAAGTGGAAGAGGGACAAGTGGTGATAAGAGCAGATGTTGTAGCCTTGGAAACAAGGTTGAGCTGGCCAATAGGGAGCAATCAGGAGGACCTGACATGGAGTGGACATGAGAAATCACCCACTGGGGAAAACCCTATTGATGCCAAAGATCCCTGAAAACAAGTGAATCTAATGCCTACTCCATTGGATATATTTGCTTGGGGTGTGACAGACGATACATGGTGAGATTGAAAGCACCCGGCTCATGACATGTGATAAGGCAAATGTGATGTGCTTGGGCCCAGTATAATAGATCCAATGTCCAAAAACATAATTCTCTGGACCAGGTGCCCCCTTGGTGGTTGATATGTGCCACCACCATAGAATTGTCCAAATGATGGGATAGAAGAAAGAAGTGATGCAATGCCCGTCATACAGCTAGTAGTTTGAGAACTTTGACATGCAAGATGGTTACATCTGCAGACCAACAACCCAAAGCTTCCTGGTGATTGACCCATGCCTCCCATTCCTGAAGTGATGCATCCATGAAAACATGTAGATCTGGAGAGGAAGCAGTATGCCCATCGACATGTGGGCTTTATCCAGCCACCAATGCAGATCATCTTGCAGGAAAGTAGGAAAGGAAATTGGGGGTGGAAAGAGGATCCGAGTAAGGTCCCATCATTCATAAAACACCAACTGAAGGGATCTCATGTGGGCCCAAATTAAAGGGACCAGTGCAGTCATGGAGGAACACATCCCAAAAAGCCATAGAACCTTGTGAGCAGTAAGTGACAGCCGAGAGGGCATAGTGAACCAAAAGTTCCATCGAATGAAGATGTAAAGGAGAAGGTAGAGCATGACTCATATTTGTGTTGAAGAAGACCCCCAAATGGACTAGATATTGAGTGGGTCAAAGAAATGACTTAT